TTGGTTAACCTCAGAGCTTCATCAGTTCTTATGCTAGCTATTATGATGTCATCAACATAGACTAGCACCACCACAAATTCATTAAGCAAACTCTTAACAAATAACGTATGATCTCCATGACATTTCTTAAATCCCAACAGTAGCAATGAGTCAGGAAACTTACGAAACCACTGACTTGAAGCTTGCTTCAATCCATATATCAATTTTCGTAGACGTAAAGCAGCATTCTGAGGAACAAAGTCCCCCTGTCTGGTTAGTCTATCTGCATACCCTCTGGAAACTTCATATATATCTCCTCTTCGAGATCTCCATTAAGAAAAGCATTGGAAATATCAAGTTGCTGTAAGACCCAACGTTTAGAAGCCGAGATCTTGAGTAACAACTTGATAGTTACCATCTTTGCAACTGGAGAAAATGTCTCATTAAAATCCCTCCCTTCTTTCTGTGTATAACCCTTTGCCACTAGTCTCACTTTTCGTCTATCCAGTGTGCCATCTGCATCAAACTTCAGTGAGTATAATAGCCTGCAACCGACTGCCTTCTTCCCTTTTGGTAAACTCGTAACATCCCATGTGTGAGTAGACTCCATAGCACAAAACTCAAGATCAGAAGCATCACACAATTCTTTATCCTTCTGAGCCTCAGCATAAGATGTGGGAATGGGTATTTTAGTGATGGAATTGATATAAGCAAGATGCGATGGAGAGAGTTTTGAAAAAGTATCTGAAATGGGATGAGTATTTTCTGATGATAGGTTGTAGCAATGATAGTCTTGAAGATGTAAAGGAACCTTCTTGACTTGAGTGTTAGAAATTTCTGATGAAGGATTAGAGGTGGATTTAGGAGTAGACACGGTAGGGATAACAGGAGGCTCAAAAGTTGGTGTGATCCATTCTGGAACATGCAGACAAGATCCCTTCTTTAATGGAAAAAGATATTCATGAAACAGAACATTCCGAGAGATAAAAACCTTGTTACTTTCCAAATCCATAAGCTTGTATCCCTTGAAACCAGAAGGATAACCCAAGAAGATGCAGGCTCTGGCACGAGGAAGAAACTTGTGACGAAGCTTTGGAGACGTAGAACCGTAACATAAACAACCAAAAGTCTTGAGTTGAGTATAATCAGGAGGTTTACCAGTGAGAAGCTCAAACGGAGTCTTGTGATTGAGCAACTTAGATGGTGTTCTATTGATTAGAAACACTGCAGTGAGAACACAATCTCCCCAAAGTGAGAGAGAAACATGAGACTGGAACATCAAAGCACGAGCAACATTGAGTATATGTTGGTGCTTCCGTTCAACTACTGAGTTCTGTTCCGGAGTTTCTGGACAAGGGTGATAAGCAGAGATACCGTATTCCTGATAAAACTTGGTCAATAGCAATTCTTGGGCATTGTATGAGCGAACTGATTTAACCTTGACCCCATACTTTGTTTCAACTTTTTTGATGAAAGCCGGAAAAATGTGTAAAACTACATCTTTAGTTCGGAGCAGATAGACCCATGTTGCACGAGAGTGATCATCCACTATGGTTAAGAAATAACGAAATCCTTCAACTGTCTCAATAAAGAATGAACCCCAAATGTCAATGTGTAAAAGCTCAAAATTGTCGTTACAAATGTTGTTATGAGAGATGTAAGACAACTTCTTTTGATTTGAAAGATGACATGTATGACAGAATGATTTCCCTTTATTCTTCAGTCTTGAAGTTCCTAGAGCTCCAGAGATTGTATCCAGCTTCTTATAAGATGGGTGACCAAGTCTCATATGCCAAGTACCAATATCAACCACTACATGAACTGAGATAGATGATGCTTGAGTATCTAGGACATATAGATTCCCCAATCGTTTACCCTGACCAATTGTCAACTCCTTGGTAGGATCCTGAATTGTGCAAGAAGATGGATCAAATATAACAGAAGAACCGAGATCATCATTTAAAGAACTTATACTCAGAAGATTCAATCGGAACTCTGGAATGAAGAGCACATTATGGAGAACAATGTGCTTATTCAATCTTACAGTTCCCACTCCACTGACTTTAATAGTGGAATCAGTAGGTAGATTAACTGAACTCGTAAGAGTTGAATTCATGGAGAAAAAAGAACTTCTTTCATGGGCAACATGATGTGTTGCACCAGAGTTAATGACCCATGTTTGACTTGAGAGACGATGTTGAGATACCATAAGTATACCAACAAAGTTATAAGTCAGAGGAGAAAAGAAAATACCAGAACTTGAAGCCACTGCATCAGGTTGAGTATGACCTGAAGGAGCATGTAGCAGAGCGCTAAATAAGGCTATGAATTGCTGTATCTGGTCCTTAGTAAGACTGCCAATCATGTTCTCGACAGTGGTGGGTGGAACTGACGGAGGTGTTGATGTGGAGAGATTGACTTGAGCAGCAACCTTGTTAGAAGGTCCACCTTTCTCAAACGTTTTGTATTTGGAAACAAAACCTGGTGGGAAGTCGTGCTTCTTGTAGCAACACTCAGCAATATGACCAACACGCTTGCAAAAGGAACAAATAGGATGTCCTTTATTTGGACCACTCTGAACATACGAAACCGATTGATCAGTCAACGGCGATGAATTCTCAGAGACTTGAAAAGCTGTCTGAGTTGGAATAGCAGCAGAGAATCCGTGTTGACTATCATCCTGATCCAATATGTTATACACTTCCACAATAGAGGGTAAAGCTTTCTTCATGATAATTTGACGTCTGATAATGGTGTAAGAATCATTAAGTCCTGCCAAAAACTTAACTATCTTAGCACGTTCAGCTTTCAACTGGAGCTTCACAGCATTTCCACAAACACATGGTTGATCTGGTTCATCAGTATTCTCCAGATTGTCGCATAAGGTCTTCAACTTAGTGTAGTACTCAGAGAGAGTCATAGATCCTTGACGAAGCTCTTGTATCTCCTGAGTTAACTTGAAGTTTCGTGGAAGATTCGTCATGTGGAAACGGCCATGAAGATCTCTCCATATATCTGCAACATCATTCAAACGCAAAATACTACGATAGATCTGTTGAGAAACTGAGTTTAATAACCACGATTTCACCATGCTATTGCATCTTGACCACAAACGAAAAGAAGAATCCGAGACATCAGGTCGACTCAATGAACCCTATCTTATTCTTTGCATCTAAAGCAATACACATAGCAGCATTTCAATCATCATAGTTACTTCCATCTAGACGAAGAGAAATGAGTTGCAAACCAGGATGATCTGCACTGTGCATAAACAGAGGTGACTGATTTGGATCGGTCGAGTTAGGTACAGGAATTGGCAGAGTAGCTCTAATCTCTTGTGGAAACAGGATCGGAGGAGGTGTTTCTTCATCTGTACCACCGCGAGAGGAGATCCGAGAAGGACGACGAGCTGAGCTTGTAGAAGCTCTCATTCGAGTCGCTTTTCAAGGAATTTTCTTCACCGAAACCATCGGAGCGAACTATCAACGAAGAGGATGATCGGAGATGACGAGATCAAGGAAAGAATCAAGCGGAATAGGAGCATGATGGCTCTGATACCATATTACGATCTGAGATTTGGAAGAGGTAGAAGAGGATAAGAAAAAGAGTTTGTTAGAAGAAAAAGATATTTCTCAGTAGTCTCAACGGTCAACTGTACAAACGTATATATACAATTAATCTACTAAACCAAGCTAAACCAATTCTCAATAACTAATCATGAACCAGCAAAAGGAAATCGGTTCAATGGTTTAATCTAATTCTAATCTCAATATAGTCCTATTAATTTTTTGATTCATAGAGTATGGCGTTTACCGACCTATCACAAGCATTAGTGTAGTATTAACATCGATCTTAGATTGAGAAAAAGTATACATTACCTAGAGATTATATGGGTTGATCGGAGGGTAGCTGATCCTTTATGCTTGAACTTACACAGCTTCTGGAGAACAGGCAGCTATCGAGAGGAAGATGCTGTTTTTTGGAAAGTTCGGTTGTGTTTAAGGTTTTTACCTTTGAAAGTATATAGAGGAAGTTTGTAAATGGTGGTGCAGTGAATTATACTTCTTTCCTTTCGGTGGAAGATTTTTTTTTTTTAACTATGGAATGTATAATGATTTTGTATTAAATGAAGAATCTGATAGAAATAATGACTAAGATAGCATTAAAAAAAATTGTCACAAATATAGCACTTAAAAATAAAAATGACCAAAATAGCACTTAATGTTTTATCAGAAGAGATAAATATACACATATATCCCAATGATAAATTAATATAGATATTAGGATTTAGAGTTAAGGGGTGGGATTTAGGGTTTAGGGTTTAGGGTTTAGAGTTTAGGGTTTAGAATTTAGGTTTTAGGGTTTAGAATTGGGGAGTGGGGTTTTGGGGATAAGATTTCAATTTTTGAAAAATAAAATTTTTAAAAAAAATTCCAAAAGATAAAATGCTATTTTGATCATTATAGTTTTTGAATGCTATTTTTGTGACATAAACTTAGAAATGTGCTTTTTGGAGATTTTCCCAATCTGATATACTTAAGTTATTGTTGAGTGGTGTTTTCTTTAAAAAGATCATGTAAACGTATGACTTTGGGATTTCTCAACGTTTACTTCCTTATAGCTAAAAAGAGAGAGGGAGAGTGTAGGCAACATTCCAAGGAAATCCAGCCGATCTTGGTCAGATGGATTCCATTAATGTATCTATTATTTCCTTTATATCTCCTGGTGGTAGGGAGTAAAAGCTCTGATGATAACTACCACATATAGATGTTTAATCAGTCCGTTCTCTATTTGTCTATTTTAAGATGCACAAGTAAATAAACTTCAAGCTATGGGTTTTAAGATCTACGAATAACATTAAAATGAGCAAACAGCAAACATAAAGAAAGAAATCAGTCAACATAAGTGTAACCAACAAAGTTTGTAAGCAAGATAGCTTAAATGATGCAAAGAGAAAGTTTTGGAAAAGTTAATTAAACAAAACATAGTCTTTTAATAAAGCAAACAAGTACTTAAAACTATCAGCCACATCTGGCACGCTTGGCTTCCTCTGTCTCAACCATATCAGAATTCCTTTTCACCCTCTCATCTGCAGATTCCTCATATCCAATAGAAGGACCAACCGCAGGATTATCCACCTGCAAAGCTTCATCGGCTGAAGGAACAACCAGGTTCTCTTCAATGTTGTTTTCAAGTTCAGGAGTTTGAGGACGGAGGACCTTGGTCACAGTTAAAGCCTTGCTCTTCCTGGTCAAATTGTAATCTGATACCTTGATACAAATTTGTGAGTTTGGCCAATTGTATCAGTAAGAGCTTGGGGCACCGGGACTACGTGATCATCTCCCACGCTTTCAAGCATGTATGATGGAGAGTTTGTAATTACCTCAAAGTAACTCTCCACCAACTCTGAGGCTTTCTTCCCAAGCAACTCAAACCCAACATCACCAAGAAGCACAAAGGTCGCATGGTCATTTGTGTCATACACAAATATCTTCGTGAGGTACCTGTCATGGAAGCACATTAAATAAGCATGATGTAGGTGCTAGTGGGACTTGAGATATAACTCTTACTCTGCAACACCAGCAACATCCGCTTTACCACATTTCTTACACATAAGTGTGGTAGGCCCTTTGGTTGCCTTATTCCTGCATCCACCGCAGGCAATATAATACCATGCAGAACCATGCACAACATCATCAATGGTGCCTGTGCACTCAAACCAAGCAACCTGCAGTATGGTAATATTAAAACATTAAAAAAAAAAAAGCAATGTCTATCAAATGAATAAGTAAAAGGTATGAGTGATTCTACCTTTGCTCCTTCATGCCTCATGTATGAGAATAGTTCCCCTATAGTACTTGTCTCAGCCTTTGTAACAATATCCGGATTAACCCTGTTTGCAACTTCTGAGTTTGATCATAACCTAAAGAAATGGCACAGATAAAATAAGTAAGACCGAGATTCCAAATATGTATAACACAGGGGAATATATACCAAGTCAGATAATCCCACGTTGGTTGGACATCACAGTCAAAAAACACACATGAAGATGCCAGGGAAGAGGGACATAAGGCGCATGTAACATAACCAACGATATCATAGTAAACCAAAAAAAACTATTACATCACAAAAGCTTAAATAATAAACTTAATGAACAGCTAATCTAACTTAAGTATGTGCTTCACACATAATATTAATTTCTGTAAACCATAAAAAAGTTTAGGTTATACCAACCTCCAAAGCGTTTTGGGTTAAGAGTTGTCACCAGAATAACATTTGGAGTGTTTCCATTCTTTTTAAAACATATCTAGGCGGGATTAAATATATGACGGGATTGCCTGATATTGTAATCATCATCGATCAGTTTTCACAGAAGTCCATAGTAGCTTGTCCCATAGGTAGATCTTCACCAGTGGATCACTACATCAAACGCAAATCATGTAATAAGTGAACTTGTATATGCATAAATCAAAAGGTTGTGAATAACTTACTCATGAGTCTGTACATGAAGCAGGATATTCGCCTAGCGGAAGCTATCTCGGCTTCATCAAGCACAAACTCTCACTCAGGGGCTGGTCATTCACCAATTTCATATGACCAATATAATCTGCAAAAAGGAAAATACAACTTACTTCTCTATTTCTTAAACAACCATGAACCATGAATCAGAATAAACAACTAAGATTCAAACATAACATTATCAGAGACAACAACTGTGAAAGAAAAAATATTGTCAAAGCTCACCATACAGATCCCCTTTCAAGTCACAGGCCGCTTCAAACTCAGTGCATCCACGGAACCGGAACCGCCTGAAGCCAAACCGCCCTGTCCTCTATAACAGAGAGAACATAGTTCCATGAGAAAATAATGGTCACGCTTGGCTCAGCAACCCAAAACACATCCTTTCTCTTAGATCCATAGAATTTGCTGAGCCGGTATATTGAACTGGGAATCATGTGAGGCAGATAGGTGTCAATCCTTCCTGGTGGGATAAATCCTTGTATGACGGTATCATGTTCATAAGGAAATAGCGATGACTCAATTTCTGCCTAACAAGAGGTACCCGTAGGAGCCCACAGAACAGTAGCCTAGCACGACGTACCCGTGGGGGAGATGTAAAAGACCGTGAAAGGACAGTGACCGCAAAAGGCGGGATAGAAAATGTGCAAGCGCTTAGGATCGAGTCATGCTGAGTTGTGGCAAAATGTGACCATCCGACCGTGAATGTGACGGGAGCCGCGGGTGGACGGCATCGCACGTGGGCCGAGCGTGGTCGCATGTGGGCCAACGAGCTGCTCGCAGGTGGTTACTTAGGGGCTGCGGGACAGCTGTTTGCATAAGATCTCCCAGAATTGGCCGATATGTGTGGGGAGACGTCCGCAGTCCGACGTTTGAAGTGAAATGATTAAAAGACCACCCACAATATTTGTGCTTCTATTATGGTTCTGATCGGATCCGTTTATTGCAAAATTCTTCCCGTGCTAAACCCGTCCAATGTTTTCTTAGGATTTTCCCCTTAGTTAGTAGGTTATATCCAATCCTTTCACTATTTATCACGCCAAAGGATACTAGAGAGTGTAAGACAAACATCATTCAATAAGCATCCTAGTCGTCGAGCAGTGTAGAACCTCGTACTACTACAACATCAGGTGTAACCAAGTGTCATATGGAGGAAGAGTGAGAGATAGAAAGCCTAGCAGATGTAATTCTTTTGGATGCACAAATTTTGGTGGATACCATGAGGGTAAAAGAACATCAAAAATACCATGAGAAGTTGGAGGCTGAATGTCGGGGATGGTGTCGAATATGAGTTGGAGTCATGACATTTTCTTCGGAGTGATTGTGAATCTGCAATTTCTATCAATGTTTGTGCCGGTGAGAGTAGAAAGACCAATGGGAAGTGATGTGGCACACGAAGATAGAACTCTTTAATGAAGATGTAGATTCTACCAATGCCAACGACTGAGGGGAGAAGCCAAGAAGGCAACTATAATTGCACCAAATGCTTCAGGGATTTGAAAAGACTTGGCCGTTCACCAACGAATGAAAACACATTGTTAAGTGATAGGGAGTCACAAACGGTGTGAAAAACGACGTTGTGAGCTAACATTGATGAACTTCTTAAAACTTTGGAAAGGAATACCCTTCGGAAAAGGGTTTTTGAGAAGATGAAAGGAAATTCAAGAACATTCCCAAAGAACTAGGGATGCGAAGAAGTATAAGAAGAGTTATACCATGTGAGAAAGTTTGATGGCCACTGTCAGGAACAGTGTGAGCTGAGTATCCGGTTTCGGAAAAATATGAAGATTGAATTCAAGTATCATTGTAGTCAGCAAAACTACATGGATCTTGATAAATTAAAGGAAATGAATGATGATAAGAAGGAACCTGGTTAAGATTGAATACTGATAATACTTGGGCATTATGATGTCGATGAGAGATGAGGTTGTATCAAAATGTGATAAAGTGCCGGTGTGACGAGTGTTGGTTTGGCGAGTGTCGGTTTGCCGAGTGCCGGTTTGGTGAGTGCCAGTTTGGCGAGTGCCGGTTTAGCATGTGCCGGTTTGGCGTATGCCAGTTTGGAGAGTGCCGGTTTGGCATGTGCCGGTCTGGCAAGTGCCGGTTTGGCATTTTCTGGTTTGCTGCTATGGCGAGTGGCTGCTAGGCAAAGAATAGTGAAGTTGTATAAGACGATGAGGTGTACAGGCGGTTAGCTTTGGGTCTTACGGATTATAGTGTCTAGCGATCTTGTTAGATGAATGATAGGTGATACTAACTTATGACTAGTGCTTGATGTGACATGTGATCTGAGGTGAGTTCGTAGGTTCCTATCATCTACCCACACTGAGTAAAAGGAATGGTAAAGATATGAATCACAAACTTGGGAGAAACTCAGTAGTCATTGGCATTCCATATACATAGATATAAGATGTCCGAAGTATTGGAGGAGGACTATCACTGGAACGAGATGATAAAGGATTGTGATTTCAATGATTCTACAGTGGAGGTAGGTTGGCCAAGAAAGGCAGAACGGTGAATCCATGGCGGATTACCGCATTGATTACATGTTCTACAATAGAGGTGGGACATCGTAACCTTGGACCATATTGTATGGTCGCTAAAGACAGGGTGATCAACGCGTATGGTGTGCATGTATGTAGGGTAGTTGAATCTGTGTACGATAATAACTACCACTCGAGAATAAAGATGTCCCCATACGTGGCTTGTGTGGGAGGAGGTGTTGGAATCCTTTATTGAACCCAAGTGGGGGAGAGCTAGGGGCTATAGCCGGATTTGACCTAGGAAGCTACTAATCAAGAGGAAATGTTTAATGGGAAAATAAATGAAGCTTACAGCAATCTATAGGTATACCAACAAACGCCATAAGGATATGGGATTCGCAAGGGTGATAAGGTTCCTTAAGACGAGAATGTTAAGGAAAATAATATGGAGTATAAGCTAAAGGCTATAAGGTTATGGAGCACGGGATCGTTCACGATCATGAGGAACATAATGAGAATTGGTTAAAGACATCAGTTAATTTTTATCAGGAGTCATTGGGTATTATGTGTCAGAGTGCGCCAGTGTACATCAGAAAAACCGAGATGTAGGAAGCTAGAAAGCGATAGTATGTGAAATGACATTGAGGATGTTGGTATAAAGGAAAAATGGAGATATCTAAAAGGGCAATTGGATCTTTAGAAGAATGGAGATGCTATCGTGGACCTCTCCCGCAATGGCAAAATGGAACCAAGCACGACTGGGGAAAATTGGCAGAGGGAGTAGGCACGTCGAGAAGTAGTGCACCGCCCCTAAAAAAAGGGACTCCGTGAATGGACGGCCTACCGGACAGAATAATAAGGGAAAACAAGGGGTCGATATTCTGTGGTCAAGGCTTGGGGTTAGGGGATCAACAAGGATGATGGAGGATCTCCTTGAGGCAAAAAGGATAACGCTAATAAAGATGATGGAGGATCTTATTGGGGCAAAAAAAACCTGATGTTAATAAGAATTGGGAGGGCTTTCTCGGACCAAAGTCTATAACTCTCCTTAGCAAACCCATGGGGTGTGACTACAACTGTTATAGGTTCCACAATGGAAGTGGGACGTATGTTTGTGTTGGTACGAGGCTGGAAGGTGAGATCATGTGGGACCCCCGTATGCTTGATCGAAAGTGGGGGAGATCAGGGATGTGAGTTAAAAAGGATAAGTGAATTACATCAAACGGAACGGTTTGAGTTGGGCTGAGGGGAGCACAAGGTATCCTTAGTGTTTTACCCAAAAAGAGGCTTATGAAGAGGATGCAGTATAACTGGGGATGGGGAATGAAAAAGCATGGAAGCTGAATGGCGACCCTAGGTGTTGCAAGGACTGTACCTCACAGGTGACAAGTGGTTGTCATTTCAGACCGGGATGTTAGTTCTGGGAGTTTGACACGCGGAATTCAGGGTCGAATTCCACTAAGTGGGGGAGAACTGTAACATCCCGATTCCGGGCCCTAAAAATTTCTAAGGCAAATGGGCTTTTCTGCGGCCCATTAGGACTAAAACCCTAGGGTTCCTTCTCTTTTCCTATAAAAGAGACTGCCTCATTCACAAAACTAGAAGCGAAGCTCTGCAGAGAAATCCGAGAGACGAAAGCCCTAGCCGTCAAGCTTTTTCTTCCCCTATTCTCTCGTGAATCTCTCTCTCTCTCTCTCTCTCTCTCTCTCTCTCTCTCTCTCTCTCTCTCTCTCTCTCTCTCTCTCTCTCTCTCTCTCTCTCTCTCTCTCTCTCCGCGTGAACCTTCTTCCTCTCTCTTTCCTCACCGTTCACGTGGTGGTGGTGGTCGCT